TGGAAAAAAAATGGAAAAAAGGAAAACTTTGGGAAAAAGGGGAAAAAAAAAAAAAAGGTAATTTTTTTTTTTTTTTTTTTTTTTAAGAAACAGTTTCTTTTGCCTTATTTTGTTACCATTATTGTCATTTTGGTCCTTAATGACCAGTACTAGGTAACAGGGCTGTGCTGGCATTGCTAGGTAACGGCCTGGTGACCGCTGAATGTGACTTAACAAAAAACATTAACTTATAGCTAAAAAAATGGCTAGGTGTTTACTTTTGAAGCACTTGGGTTGTTTTCAGAAGTTGAAAGTATAAAAACACGCAGAATGTGAATTTTGCTTCATCTTAAAACGAGGCAACCATTCAGTTTCCTTTTTTTCCATGATGAAATGTAAATCGCGGTACTGTTTAAGGTTAGAAAGCATATCAAATTAGAAACTATTCCCTACAGAAATAATTCACTAATATGGATTTTCAACCGCCGTTCTGCTTTTTGGAGCGCTTCCCATTGGGATTTGGAGGAAGAAGTCTGAGCAGAGGTCACCAGACCTCCTTTTCTCACCACTTTACTCTTCTGTGGGATATTTGGGCTTTCCAAAGCCAGCTGGAAAATACAACCTTTCCACCATAACTCGCTCTTCCCCTAGCTAGACCTCATCCCTCTGAAATCAAACCCGCTGAGATAAATCTGGAAGGCCGCCAACCAAGAAGCGGAAGCCCCTTTTCACTTTTTCGCCTTTCAAAGATAGCTGAACTTCTAGCTCTGTCTGGAAATGATTTTAATTTCTGGTTCTCCAACAACAAATTTTAACCACTGTAAATGGGAAAAAAAAACCTGTTCTGAACTCCTTCTGTTACAGGATGCAGTCGGTTGGGTTTGAAGCTCTTTGATTGATATCCGTCCACCAGCAGAATGGATTCCATGAGATCAGAGTCACTGCAAACGGTGTCGACAGCTTCCCCTTTCTGTAATGTCTGACTGTTTGCCAGAATCTTTTCATGGCCGATGGAAAACTATGCTCCCTAGCTCCTCAAGATGCTTTCTTTAGACGGAAAGATCTTTTCCATCTCAGGACCTACAGCCACGGTTCGGACCAACACTAACACCCTCTTGGCTACAACTACATATCGCTGTGATGGACCACATCCCATTTGGTTTCAATGGAATATGAAATACCAGTGCCAAAATTAATATTGGTATGCAAAACCAGTAAAACAAATGACCTGTTTTGTTGGTTGGTGCATCATTCACACCAGCCATGTCCAGTCTGCTTTAATCAAACTGTAGTCCATTTTTCCAGAAAGTCCGGTTCTTTTGGGGCGGTGAGAACTCTGATTGGGACCAAAAAACAAACTCTGGTCCGCCCAAAAACCTCAGTTTGATTGAAATGAACAACAGCGCTGTTTGAATGTATATGTGACTGCCAATCAGACTGGAGACGGTCCCAAAAGCAGGAAGTGGACTACAGTGCAGGGCATTCTGGGTAAAAACGACCAAAACAAACGTTAGCATGAGAAATGGCTCATGATCGTTTACGAAATACAAAAGAGGAATCCTGAAACTGCTCAAATCTGACGCCATTTTATTTTTGTTTACATTTCCTGAAGAAGGAAGTTGCACTCAGTTTCTTCTTCAGAGGTTTCTGTGTTGCTTTCTTCAGTGGTTCTTGGTGCAGCGCCCCCACAGGTGGGGAGGGGAACAGATTTTCAATAGTTTGGTTCGTTTGACTCTAGTGTGAAAGCGAACAGCAGCAGCATAAAATGTAACAAATGTTGCAATTTTGTTCCCTGTGAAACTCACTTTACTTAGGTTGCTTCTGACGCATCAACATTGAGAACTGAAAATGTTTACTTTTGACCCGAGATACCAAAATCATAAATTTTCTTCACTCGTCAAAGTTCAGAATGTTACGACTTAATGGTGTATTTTCTTGGGTTATGTTGTGATAATGGTTTGTGTTACTCATCAGCAATATGGCAACTCACTCATCAACTCACTTGATTGCTGTATACTCAGGACTCGCGTTCAATTGTACATAATCCAGAAGGTCAAAGGTCAGACAAACACAGGTTCATATTTCATTATGCAACCTCTCTACCTTGATGTCAGTAGGAAACCCTGATGTAATAAAATCAACCACACAATTGGGATTGCATCCAAGAAAGACACAAAATCTTACCAAGTATTTCTGGCGCAAACATCTTAGCACACATGAAATAAAATAAAAATACTTGAAAGTAACTTTAGATATAGGAGCCTTTTTAAGCAAATAATTTCTTATTATTTTCATTTCCAATTTAAATGGCAGATTAATACACTTCTAACAAGACATTTTCCTCATATTACCACTGAAATAATCTGCCAGTGGTAGTAGTAATATTTCATCGACATTAAGGAATGACTTACTTGAAACAAGCTCCTATAAATTCTAAAAAGTTACTTCTGATTTATTTTAAGTTACTAAAATACTGTCACCAGAAACCAAATAAAAATACTTGGGAAGACTTTATGTTTCTGCAGTGAGCTAGTGGAACCAGCACTTTTTTCATAAAATTTTAAGGACTTATCTTAAACCCAGCTCCCATCTCTTAATAAAAAGTTACTTTTGTCTTATTTTAAGTTGTAATAAGATATTTGCGCTAGAAACTAGACGAAAAATACTTGCTAAGATTTCGTGGGGGTGGAGCGTTTTTGTAGAGCTATAGGTAACCAGGTGCAAAAACGTACATAATTAAGTAAATTAAATAAATGGATAAATAAATTGACCAAATAAATAAATGGATAAAAACTCAGAAGTACGAGCATTAACATGTTTGAGGAACATAAAAAAAGCAAATCCACCTACTTGGCAACATCCAGAATGGTCTGCACTCTGATGGCTCCATCAAGATGAACATGCAGCTCGATCTGTGGATGAAGACAATCAATCAATCAATGTTAATTTCTCACACACGGGAAGGAGGCCCCATCTTCCTGGACCAAACAGAGCAGTGCAGCTGAGGTTGTACTTTGGCTGCAGCTCATTGTGCATACAGAGCACACGGTTGGGCAACCAGTGGCGAACCAGGCCGGGGGCGCCACAGGGGGCAAACAGGAACGGCCGGCTTGGCTCCCCCTCTGTTGCTGAAAGCTGTGATTTATGCCAGCAGATGAAGTGGAAGAATCTTGACTCGTCCCTCAACGAGTTAGATAAGTTGCTCCGATTAAGGAAGAGCAAAGTGAGGCTCGTCATGACCTAAAGCTTGAGAGCAGGCCAGGACAAACCTCAGATGATTCAAATCAGATTCCTTGCTGCTTAGCCGCTTGGCATGTGTTGCTTTGGACTGGAAATGCAGCTGAGCTACATGATTTCTAGTTGTGAGAAATAAGATTCAGTTTAAAAAAAATAAAGCTGCAGAAAAACAAAGCATATGTTGTTTTCCTTGGATGTGAACAAACCATTACGAACTTATGAAGATATTTCATACTATTGACCTGGCAGAGACTGATGATATGTAAATAAAAGCATTCTGTATATCAGACTTTTTATTCCCACACATTTGAATAATAGCTGCACGGCAAAAACACAAAATCTTATGAAGTAATTTTGGTAGTTCAAATGCCTTCGTACACCTGGAATAAGACAAAACTAACGTACAGGTAACTTTTCAGCAAAATATAGGAGCTCGTTTTAAGTAAGTAATTCCATATTATTGATGACAACCTACTTGCTCCATTGATTATTTCACTTATAAGAAAGCATGTATAATTTGCCAATGTAGATAGTACTTTTTCATCAATATTAAGGAATTAGACTCTAAAGAAACTCATATCTTGCTTAAATGTTACCTGTAAGCTAATTTTGTCTTATTTCAAGATATTTGCATAGTTGCCTTGCAATAAAAGGTTTAGGTGGTCATTTGTACTTGTAATGAAAAATTTTATTACATTACGAGTGTGTTGAACTTATGGTGCAATGTTTAGGGAATATCCTTGTCTGAGTCGCCTCTCTGAAGGTGAGGATAAGCAAGTCAATTTCCACATTAATTTGTCGAACAGCAAGCTCCAAATGTTGAATATTTGCTGGAAAATATTTTAAAATTTTGAGATTAATCTCAGAAATGTTCTAGAAAACACTTTCTGAGCATGAATAGCAGAAATTTGTGAGAGAAAAAAAACTGACTTTAAGGTTAATCTCTGAAATTTTTCAGTTTCAAAAGTAGATTTTTACTTTTTTGAGATTCCAAGTTTTTTTTTTTATAAATGTCTAAGATTAATCTCAAAATGTCAGGTTTTTTTGGCAGAAATTTACTCTTCCTTTATTTCCATCTATGATGAACTGTAACCTGGAAGAGGAGAGACTTGGACTAACCCAGAGCTCCTATCTGGGTGGGACAAACCCATGTAGGTCAAAGGTCGCCTTCGACATGGGAAACGTCTTGGGTCCCACCTGGAAGTGCTTGAGACGGAAATATCCTCTTGGACTTATTACTTCAACAATCCATTCTCAGTTTAACTGAAGATGATGGGCAGATTTTTTTTTAGCTTTAAATATGTTGCTTTAATAACACTTAAACATTATAACTGGTTATTTGTCACCAGGGCTGGCCCAAGCATTTTTCGGGGCCTGGGCACATTTTAATTTGGGTGCCCCCTTACCAACATGTATAATTTCTAACACTCCATCTGTGTAACATAGCTACTATCATTAGCATCATTTTTAATCAGCTTACATTATACCACTGTTATTATGGCTGCTGATTTTAAAGTATAAATTATTTGGATTTTGAAATGCAGAGTGGCATTTAAGTGCGTTGCATCATTTTAATCATTTGAAAGTAACAAACACTAAATTTACAGTAAATAAGTCAACAGGTTTGATATGTTATATCTCCCCAACAGTGACAGAAGTAAGAGATCAACCTATTGTTTACAAACTATAAAAGATACAAAAATTGTATTTAGTTCCAATATATTTTTTTTTATCATGCTAGCTTAACTCTCATACCTTTGGCCGGCTCTGTTTGCTACCCATTTGTTGAGAAAAACTGTTTCAGTTCTAAAATTAAATCTCCATCTGCACAAATTAATCGATCTACTCTCTGATTCATGAGTTTTCTAGCTTTTCTTTTTATTAATAATTTTTTTAAATGCTGCAGCTTCAGAGCTGTTCAGATGATGAAATGCTTCTCCACTCGATATCTATTCCAGGAAATCATGTGGCTGTTCTCTCAGTTCTCCCTGCAGCATGTTGCGGTCGTTTTAAATTAATCCCGTGACACTGAAGATGTCTGCAGTTTTGCAAGAGAAATGTTTTATATCAGAGTATGAAGCCAAAGAGGAAGCTCAGATGAACTGAGGAGATTCAGATTTATGACCCTCCCTAATGCAGCTTTTTTATTCACGTCCCTTTTTGCTAAAAAACAAACAAACAAAAAAAACACTTTTAATGTGATCCAGCTGTGCCATAATATAATAAAAACTCACTTTTACTTTATTTTAAGAAAACTGAATAACTTGGATAAAAATAAGCTGCAACATCTTATAAAAGTATTAATTTCTCAAACTTTTTCTCATTTTGGACCACAATCACACCAGAGCATAATGCTGCCACCACCGTGCTTTACCATGGGAAGAGTTTATCTTTTTTATCACCAATAGGATCCGTGTTGGTCCGTCATAAAAAAATTTTATGACGGAAAACTATCATGTGGTTCTCACATGATAGAGTGAAAAAGCTCTATATGTGAATATATTTTCAAACATTTTTGTGCAGAAGATTCCCACTAGTTATTAGTTTCATATTTGTGGATCATTTAATGCATGATATTTCAGACAGTTTTTGGTCTTTTAGTCCCAACTCATATTTTTTAATAAGCCAATTGATGCTAGAGTGCAAGTTTGGGTGTGAAGCCATTCATAGGGATGAAATAATGCAGCAGCTGCATCATTTCATTCTGCTGTGTGAAACCGTTTTTGATTTTCGGCCACACATTATAGCAGAATTGATGGATAAACCTAATAAAATGTTGCACAAACTGTACAGCACTTGTTGCTCATTTACGCTGCAGCGCGTCGTAAATGTTGACTCATCCGCCGGGACATGATCTGAATTTGGAAGAGAGTCAATTATAAAAGAATGACTCAGACTGAACGCCCTGCATAATTAAAACAATGAGATGCATCATGAGGACTTTGGAAATAGTTGGTGCATACAAATAGTTTAATTAGAGTTATTTTGATTACGTTAGAACGTTAAGAGCCTCTTCGATTGTCTCAGACAATTTATGCAAGAGTCACAACAAAAATAGCAGCGATGTAGCATTGCCTCATTCTTTGTTTGGTGAAAATTAAACGTTTCCAAACACAGATGATTTTAGCGTCACATAAGACACAGATCAGATTATCAGTCTCCTTCCAAGTTTGTTTTTGACATATGGCAGCTTTTTGAGTTGTACCTGAGAACTGTGTGGATTTTGAGAAACTTTGTGGGCAATAGAGAAATTGGAGACTCAGTTTTCACAGTCAATCTTACAAACTTTCTTAAATGTCACCATTTCAAACTAATTATTTAAGAAATAAGATAAATATTCAACTCTAACCTAAATATTTAGCTTGGTGCTAAATATTTTAGCAAACAAAATATTTCGCTTACAAACTAAATAGTTAGCTCCAAAGCAAACCAAATATTAACTGCCAAGTAAATATTTAGTCTAGCTCTGAACTAAATATTTAGATAGTAAGCTAAATATTTAGATAGTAAGCTAAATATTTAGCTTACTAACAGAAGATTTTACTCCATGCCATGTATTTAGCTACCAAGTTAATATTAGCTCCAAGCTAATTATTTAGCCTGTAAGCTAGTCACAGTTAGCTTACAAATTATAATATTTAATTTGTAAGCTAAAAATTGTAAGCTAATGTACATATTTTGCTCCAAACTAAATATGTAGTTAGCAAGCTAAATATTTATAACCACATACAGTTTATAGTTTGTATTAGCTTACAAACTATAATTTTTAGTTTGTAAGCTAAATATTTAGCTCCAAATTAAATACTTTGCTCCAAACTTAAAATTTAGTTAGTAAGCTATAGCGCCAGACTAAATCAAGCATCTTACAAACTAAATTTTTACCTCCAACTGGAAAGCTACATATTTAGCTCCAATCTTGAGTTCTTTGCAGACAAGCTAATTAGAGTATTTAGCTACCAAGCTAAATAGCTCAGTTTACTCATTTTAGTTTGGATCTATAGCCAAATATTTTACTCTATACATTTAGCTTTGTAGCAAATTAGTTAGCTTACAAACTATAATATTTCATTTGTAAGTTAGCTTATATACTAAATATTATAGCTCCAAACTAAAATAAGTGAAACTGAGACGTTAGTTTTCAGGACAGATGACTGAACTCATTAACCTCATGAAGGTGATGCAACACTCCAAAAACAGAATCAGCACAATAAGTTTGCATGTTGAGCCTGTGAAGGTTGCTGCAGTGCACAGTGACCCCTGCGCCACAATAAGCTCTGAAGCAGCATATTAATATATAATGAGGTTATCTCTGCCAGCACTCCGCCTTCACTCTTTGCACAGCTGATCTCCGTCATTTGCCCACATCCTCCACCCATCTTTCACTCTGACTCAGCCCTTTGTTGTCAGTTTATCAGCTATCAGAACGGGTACATGTTCAGTCAGGACTCCGATTCAAAGGGCACAAATGATTAAGAAGATGTGACAATATATGTTTAAATCAGGAGTGCCCAAAGTCAGTCTGAGGGCCGGCATCCTGCACGTTTTATTTCTCCCTGGTTTAACGCACCTGAATCAAATGATGGTTAGAGACCTAAGAGGAACATTGACAAGCTGAAAAGGTTGTTACTACCACCAGGGAGAGAATAAAACGTGCAGGATGCCGGCCCTCCAGGACAGACTTTGGACACCTCTGGTTTAAATGGAAAGCCTTTTCCTAGTGCCAATTAGAGCTATTTATTTTAACCTTATTAGTGAGTTGGGTTTTTGACTTGCAGAAGTAAAAAGTAACCGTCCTAAAAATTACTCAAGTAACAGTAAAAAGTCTGCACAAGTACCGAGTAAAATTATCAGTCCTTTAATATTTAAAAATTACATATGAGATGGACTAAAATATAGTCATGTGAAATTTTTGGTATTTTAATGACATAAATAAAAAAAATGTTAAAGAAAAGCTTTCCAAATTAGTTTCTTTCAATAAAAATATTAAGAAATTTCAACAAAAATTGTGTGCATTTTGTTCTCTGTCTTTTTTGGGCTAAAACATGTTTGTTTTTCATTCAGTGGGCAGAAAATACGGAAATGTTACTCAAGTAAGAGTAGCGATGCTTCATACGCGAGTAAAAGTAAAAAGTACATTTTGACTAAATGTAGTTAACCACCAAAAAGTGGGTTTCATTTAATATTCTCGGTTGTTTCCCAACGACCCGGTAGCAGAAGCAAGACGAACTTCCTCGTTGAAAACACGCGTCCATGCCAACCAAAGCGAAGTTTTTGATTTTCCTCCTTCCTAATTGGCTCAGAAACACCTTACCGCTGCGGATGTTCTCTCGCTTGTACTCCCTGTACCTTCAGTCTCACTGTACTTACTGTGCCGGCGGCAGCAGCACCGTGAAACCAGCCCGTCAATAACACTTTGAGCCGCCGGGTTCTCCGGCTTTCTGACGTACCTTGGGCTTGTTGAACACCTCTGAATGTGGGGAGCGCTCGGCCATGATCGGGAGCCCGCGGCAGTCGGTGGGTTTGCTGGTGCGTACTGAGCTGAGGAGAAGCGGAGAGCCGAAGCCTATCGCGGTTCGTCGCGCTATTATATGCATGACTCAGAGACACGCCTTTATTCTGCTAACTGTTAGAAAAAAAAAGAAAAAAAACACACGCACACACACACTCAGCACAGTTGGCTCTGCAGATAACAGCAGCGAGAGGCCGGGGAAGATGTTGTGCAGGGCGAAGCAACAGGCTGCACGCCGCTTCGTCACATTTAGGCTGGGTACGGAAGGATTAGCGGCCCGGGATGGCAGCAGCTTTCCACCCATGTGATGAGAGCTTTACAGTAAGGCCAATTAATCAACGAACCAGGTCACCAAACTGGTCCCAATTCTCAGTAAAAGATTTCAGAACTTTAATCCAGAGTTGGGAAGCAGCTACATTTCCACAATTTGGGGGAAAAAATTACTTTTAGGAGTATTTTTGTTAGGCTGTACTTTTTACTTTTTTATCTTAAGGTATCGCTACTCTTACTTGAGTAACATTTCTGGATTCTCTACCCACTGAACCAAAAATTCACCAGACACAGACACACACCTGCAGTTTTTATTAAAGCTATTGGTTTTTATTGATAGAAACTGATTTGGAAACAATTTTTTGTCCCAGATTTTGTTATGTGTTGTTACTTGCATGAATTATTGTCAATTTGATCCTTAAAATGCCAAGAATTTCCACTTCACTTTATATTTTGGTGCATCTAATTATGTAATATTAAGATATATGATTGATCATTTGATAAATTACTCACTACTTTTTACCAAATACTTTTTGACTCTTACTTGAATAATTAATTATAATAATTAATTGAATAACTACTTTTTTAACTTTACATGAGTAAAACATGTTGAAGTAGTGCTGCTTTTACTTGCCTGATTTTGTTTTTTCCATTCTATTTGCTCTGTAGAGTCATGCAAACTATCTTTGTTGTTAAGAAAAATGTTAAAATTGCACTAAATTAAATCAAATCTGCCTGTGCAGCAGTTTTAATGACCAATGCAGCTGTAAAACTGACCACATCAGCATATCTGGCTGTTCTTCCTCATTCCACTTTCATATTAAATGTGAATCTAAGGATAGAAATAATCTCTTCTGGGCTTACTTTGTTTAAAAATCCAGCTCAAACATATAAATTTATCACCCACAGAAAGTTTTCTTGGATCAGATTCCACTGAAGTCACTTCTGAGGATAAACAGAAACTCTCAGCTTCAGACTTTTTCTCCCTTTTTCACTAAAATGTTCCAGCAGTCCAGGAAGATTTCTGTAACGTTTTATCAACACACACATCAAAACTGCAGAACGGTAACATCCCTGAAACCTCATTTCAAAACCTCATGTTTTATGCCACAAAATGCATGGTAAAACATTTTCTATATTCACTTTGCCAAACATAGCATTTCTGTTTGGCTCAACAGGTTTGTGTGGTTTTCAAAAACGGAACAAAAACGATGGAACAACAAAATGATGTCAGTACAGGGGTGGCAATCCTGGTCCTGCAGCTCTTCTATGTCTCCCTGGTCCAACACGCTTGGATCCAATCACCTCCTCAGTGCAGTCAAGTTCTGCAGAGTCCTGCTAGCGACCTCATTATTTGACTCAGGTGTGTTGAAGTAGAGAAACATCTAAATGTTGCAGGAGACCAGCCCTCCAGGCCTGGAGTTTCCCTAAAACTCCTGGGAAATTCCCCTGTGTTAGTAAAATCTAGAAATTTTGTCCAGATACTTTATTCTTTTGCTCAGTAAAGTTATGAAAGCTATGCTTAGAGTGAAAAAATAAAAGTCTGTGCTCTACTTTTAGCAGAGGCTTCTGGGATTCCTCTGGAGCTCTGTGGGCTGTTGGTGGTTTCACAAAACAGCTGCTCCACTCCAGGCCTAACCAAAACCTTTAACGTTATTTTTTTATTTTCTATTTTTTTAACGTCTGGACTTCTGAGGTCGACTATTTTGGTTCCTGTGCCATTGTCAGGCGTCTAGATACAACCTAAGGCAATTACAAAACGCTGGATGGTTTTCATTTGTTTAGTCATTTATGTATTTATTTTAACAATTCTTCAAGTTTTCCTTTTCTAATTAAATATTTATTGGTAATTAATTATTTTATTAATTAGAGTTGAACTCTGCTGCATTGTTCTTTGCAGCAAGATGAAAAACAGCTCCTAAAACTAGAAGCGGGTGTAAATAATGGACAGATTGAATCAATAAATTTACTTAAATAAAGAACAGAAAACATTTTAATTTAAAAGATAAAATAAAAAAATATACTTAAAAAACACGTTTGTGGAGTTTTTAGCAAACTTCAAAGCTAAAACAAACTCAACACGTTAAACTTAATAGCTTGTGAAATTGTTTGCTTTTTCTTTCCTTTTTCATACAAAAGCAGAAACTAATGGAGAAATAAATTGTTCAAGGATTTGCAGGAATATAAGAAATGAAGCAACCTGTTGGAAAACTCCCAGACTCCTGTGTTTGTTGCACCACTGACTCAATGTTAAAGCTAAACCTGTTTATTTACAGGAGTTGCTCACATTACCACATTAGTAACGGAAAAACATATATATTCTCCCCAGCTGATTGTTTATCCGCTGCAAAACATTCATTAGTTGCTCATTAGTGAGCAAACAGCTTGGCTCTAAACATAAAACATGTTGTGTCATTTTCACTCGCCAAAACAAGATGAGATCACATTTATATGTTGCACAAGAAAATGAAGGAAGTCTCAGCACGATTGACAAATAGAGGTGGAAAGTGTTGCATCAGAAAATGAAGGAAGTCTCAGCATGATTGACAAGTAGAGGTGGAAATTGCAAAATATTCGCAACATTTAAGATAATTAAAATTTAAGAAAAATAAGGGAACCAGTAATTTATGCTCTTTTATAATAACTACTTCCTTTTTCTATACCCTCCACATCAACCAGCAAATAAATAAATACATAAAAAATGTTTTTATATGCTTGGAAAACTAATTTGAGAACAATTCATCTTATAAGCTAACTTAGCGGTTTAGATTTCTGAAGGAAGTGCTGATTAAAACCTAACAGGAGAAATGCTGGGAAAATTATGCTACTTTCCTCCAGCAGGTGGCGCCAAATATCCACCCATTTTGTCAAGGACGAAGATTTTAGCAGTGACACAAACTGTATGAGGCCTTTCAGATTTATAAATTTATTACTAATTCATTATTCAGTAATATATTTATAAATCTGAGCTTTAAATTTACTTAAAAAGGGCTTTATAAATAAAATGGATTATTATTGTTCTGTTGTGTTTTGTGACTTCACTGTTTGTAGTTTTTTCTTACTTTTTTCAGATATGTTTCTAACGCATTTTTATGGAAGAGGATTAGGGTCACTGGAAATTTTTTTTAAAAATTCTGACTTTAATCTCAGAATCCTGAGATTAAAGTCAGAACTGTTTCATTTTTTTCTAGTGATCCTAATCCTCTTCTGTACGTTTTGAAGAAAAAAGGTAAAGAAATTTATCATCTAACTGATCAAATTTTAGTGACTACTCAATGTTTACTTTATGATAACTTTTATATGCTTCTCTGACATGTTCATAGCAGCTTATTTTAGGTTTTTGTGTTTGAAGTTGATCCATCTGTTGGCTTCTGATTTTATAAGAACAAGTAAATAAATTAGAATATCATTGAAAAGTTTATTTATTCTATATAGATTTATTACAGAGGTTAGGTATGTCACTATAAATTTTGCTGGAAGATAGTTATTCAAATAAACAATAATATTGTATAATAATTTATAATAATATATTGATAATGGAATAGTAATGTAAGTTTGTCTTCTCAAAGAATGGATTTCTAAATGCAGAAATCCAATTTACCAACGAGGAAGGAGGAATGTTGTCTTCTATCACACTAATGGAAAGTTGAGTGGAAGGAAAAAGTATGGTCAGAAAAGGTTTACAAGCAACAGGACAACCAGACTTAAACAATAAAACAATAAAAAATATTGTTGTCATAATACATGAGTGGGCTGCACAGTGATGCAGTTGGTAGAGCTGTTGCCTTGCAGCAAGAAGGTTCTGTGTTTGATTCCCAGTCCCGGTCTTTCTGCAAGGAGTTTGCATGTTCTCCCTGTGCATGCGTGGGTTCTCTCTGGATACTCCTGGTTCCTCCCACAGTCCAAAAGCATGACTGCCAGGTTAACTGGCCTCTCCAAATTCTCCCTAAGTGTGAGTGTGTGCATGGTTGTTTGTCTCTGTGTTGCCCTGCGACAAACTGGCGACCTGTCCAGGGTGTACCCTGCCTCTTGCCCGGAACCAGCACCAGCACCTCCTGACCCCACTTGGAACAAGGATGTAAGAAAACGGATGGATAGAAAGTAAACAACGCTTAATAAACACAACATTAAAGATGACCGCCAGATGGCGCCCTATCTAAACCTTAAAAAACCCCACAAAATTAGAACTGCATGTCAGCGCTAATTAAATAATTGAAATGTAAATCTTTTAGTTTGTAATGTTTAGAATTTTTTTTACATAAATGAGTATTCTTACAGAAAATACAACAATTTTATTTACAAAACCAGATATAAAACAGTTTGATTACAGCTCCCAATGCGAAGCTCCTCTTAGTTAAACAAAATAAACGTTTCTTTTTCTCTCTCTTTTTCTCTCAGAGCTCTGAAACAGACAAAAGTTTTGTGGATGGATAATATCGTCTTTCATTCTGTCTCACAAAAACTAGCAGTTATAAACTGCTTTCTGACTTTCCCACGCATTCAGCTGCTGCAGCGTTTTTCCACCCGTAATTCAGTTCTGCAAAACTCTGGCATTTCTCACACTGTTTATCTCACATCTGCACTCATTTAAACTCAATTTTCTGTAAAATCAAATCACTGTTTGTGTTGTTGTTGCTGGAAGATTTTTGAATATGCCAGCGATGCATGTGGGATGAAATCTGAAGAATAATTTACTGAAGATGTATTTTGCAGGCTTCTCCTTCATTTTTTTCTTGAATGTTTTTTCATTTTGAGCAGTGTTTGTGATTAAAGTGGCCTTCCTTTGCCTCAGATCTCTGCGGTGTCTGTGGATTTTATCTCTCCTGTAAGTGAAGTTGGCACCCGTCTCCGCTGAAAACTCTCTCA